TGGAGGGGAGGGCACAGGCTGATGCTGGGAGAGGAAAGGGGAGGGTCATGTGATGAGGCAGAGGGGGTGGAAAGCAGAGGGGATGGGCAGGCACAAGTACAATTGGGGGCAAGAGGAGGGAGAAGGAAGAGGGTTACAGGAGGCGAGGGGAGGGGCAGGCACCAGGGGAGAAGAAGGGGACAGATCCCACAGGCATAGGGAAGCCAGGGTAGGATCAGGCACTGGGGGTATGTCTACACTGCCACCCAAGTTTGAACTAGGTGGCTAATGTAGGCATTCGAAGTTGCAAATGAAGCCTGGGAGGCTAATTTGAACTACCTACTCTGTGCCGCGTGTAGCTGCGGGCACAGAGTCTGCACTAACGGGGATTTAAAAATGGCGGCGCCCGGCAAGATGCAAATGAAGCCCAGGATATTTAAATACCGGGTTTCATTTGCAACTTCAAATGCCTACATTAGCCACCCTAGTTCGAACTAGGGTGGCAGTGTAGACATACCCTGGGGGACTAAGAGGTGTGAGGCAATGGGGGAGGTCCAAAGGGGAAGAGGGAACCAAGGGGAGGGACAGGTGATAGGGCCCAGGAGGAGGGGAGGAGGGCAAGAGGAGGGGCAGGTGCCAGAGGACTGCAGGGGAGTGAGGAAGGGGCAGATGTGGGGTAATGGGAGGCATGAGCACTGGGGGAGGTTAAGGGGGAAAGGAGGGGCAGGCACCAAGGCCATAGGGCCCACTGGGGAAGAGACAAAGGTGGGGGGGCATCAGAGATCAAAGAGAAGAGGAGAAGGTGCAGGCATAGGACACAGAGAAGGGAGAGGGGAGGGAGTGGCACCAGGGGAAGGTGCAGGTGACAAGGAGACAAAGAGGGGGTAAGGAGGTGGGGCAGGTGCTAAAGGAGCATGGGAAGGGTGAGGTGTGGGGCAGATCCCAGGAGACACGAGGGCAGGGAGGGAAGGGGCATTTATCAAGTGGGAGGTGGCATGGGGGGTGGGTGCCAGGGAGACAGAGATGGGCAAGGGAAGGGGAAGTCCCTAGGAGGGCTGGGTGGAGGGGCAGATGTAAGAAGAGCAGAAAGGAGAGGGGCAGGCACCAGGGGATAGAGGGGGAGGAAGGGAGCAAGGAGGCAGAGAGAGAGGGGTGTGGGGAAGGGCAGGCCCGAGGGAGGCAGAGGAGCAAGGAGATGTGGGCACCAATGCAGCAGAGATGGGGGTGGGGAAAGGGCCTACACCACAGGGCCCGAAGCAGGGGCCAGGGAAGGGATACCAGGCAGACAGAAGGGCAAAGGAAGGGGTAAGTGCCAGAGAGGCAGGGGGCTCACACTGGGGGACTAGAAGGGAGTGAAGGGTGCAGGTGTCAGGGAGCGAGAGGCAGGAGAGCACTAAGGGGAAGGTGGCAGGGGAGGGGTGCAAGGAAGGAGCAGGCACCTGTGGGTGGGAAGGAGGGGGACAGGGAAGGGTCCTGTGCAGAGGGGGCCAGGGCAGGAGAAGACAGGGTAGGTAGCAAGGGGCAGAGTGGAGGAGAGGTGGGGGAAGGGAGGGGACAGCTGATGCTGGGAAACAAAGGGGTGACATTTTAGGACCCTTTTAGTGTTTGAGTAACAGGCAACAGAGCTGTACTTAGCCTGCCCAATTGAGGGGATCCCCCAGTGCAGTGCCAGGCAGGCCGGGCTCAGGGCACCAGCTGGGACACCCCAGAGCGGCTGTGAAATGTGCCCTGGCCAGGAAAATCCCTCTAGCCCTGATCTCAGCCCACAGACCCGGCTGCCAGTGGAGACTCGGCTCCAGCCTGAACTCTCTGCCCAGAGCGACGTGTCCCCTGGGCCCTGCGAGTGGCACAGACCCTCTGCCGCTGCCCCAGCGTCTCCCAGCGCGGGCACTGGCCACACAGCCCCGCCCAGAGCCCAGGGGGGCAGGTGTCTGCAGCTAGTGACTGTCACCGGCCACAGAGCCCCTCCCAGAGCCCCAGGGGGGCAGGTGTCTGCAGCTGGTGACTACCCCAGCCACACCCTGGCTCCTGCCACGCAGCCCTGGGGCAGACACTGGGGACTCTCACACCAGGCTCTGCAGACACAGCAGGTTCAGCTACACAGCTGCCAGCGCGTCCCATGCACCTGGAGAGAGAGACAGACACTCCCCCATGACCTGTCTGTGCAGCCCCCTGCACATGGGCTCAGGCCAGGTCTCATAGCACCTGCTCAGTGGCAGCAGGCAGTGAGGGGTCAGGGTGGCAGGGTGAGGGGGCCAGGTCAGATCCCAGATCAAATGCCAGCAGGTGGGTGTGAGCAGCAGGCAAACTCCCCAGCACTGAGTGCATCAGCCTCCAGCTACCGCACAGCTCTCAGCCGGGTCCACGTGTGTCCTGGGGCCCCAGGCTCTGCCCTGAGCCCCCGGAACCAAACAGCTCAATGTCCCAGGGGCTCCACTCACCTGCAAATCTGTTCAGAGCTTCCCTCAAATCAAGACAAATTTTATACACATGCTGCAGGTCGGTGCAAACGGCTTCTGGTTCCTGGAGTTTCATGTTTTCACTCCTGGGAAGCAAACGTCCCAGCATCAGCAGCTGCCCTGCACTGGCATCACCGCAGGGCCCCCACCAGGAATAGGAGGGCAGCAAAAATGGGACACACACCTGCTCAACATGCTTTTCACATCCTGAAAGGAGAAAGAGAATCGATGCTCTGTGTTAACACCAGGGCAATTCCTCATCCAGGCAGAAGCCTTTCATCTAGAGAAGAGATTCACCTTCCCAGGCTTCACTGTTCTGTGGCAAAACCTCCTGCTCCACTTTGCATTTACACTCAATTCATTGTTTGTAGGTCGGACGGGAATTTAGTTAAATGGTTCTTTCTCCTAGGGACCCCGCCCCCGTATCTGTGTTTAGCGACTGGTTGAGTCCAATGCTCTGGAGTCACAGCAGGGATGGGCTTAGCTCTACATCATTTTTACACCAAACATTTCATCGCCCAGGGCCTCCTTGGATCTCCATGATTCCCCGCCCACCCAAACTGCACCGTCTGGAACTGAGGGAGTCCTTGGCCAAGTATTGTCTCACAGCACATTTACTCTCATTCTTGGGATCCAGGCCCATGGATCTGAGCTGTAATTCTGGCTGGGGGCAGAGCTTTGACGCCGTCTCACCTTCAGCAACTCAGCAACCTGCTGCTGACACTTCCCCTCAATCTCCGCGATCAGCTGCTGCAGGGAGGCACTTTCCTGGGAGAGTTTGGAGACATTTTCCTGTAGCCTCTGCAGAGTCTCCCTCTCCTCCTCTGCCAGCCTCTGCAGAAGCAGCTGCTCTTCCTCCCTCAGCAGCGTGTGCAGCTTGTTAAATTCACCGGCAATCGTCTCCCGCTTCACCTGCACTTTCCTCTGGGCAAAGGAAAATAGGAAAAACACAGAGAAAACACCAGTCAGATGTTGAGTTACAGGCTGGGCCTCTGTCTGTGAAGCAGGGAGAATCAGATCTGAGTGAGGTTGTAAGGACAGTTAAGGTAGCTGTGGCAGTCTGCTTCAGCAAACACAACAAGGAGTCCAGACTCCTTTTTATTTGTATCATAAAGGGCTGGTTTTAGGTCAGAGTGAACAGGGCCAGTCCTGTAGTGGGCCTGTCCAGGGTGCTAGGTAAAGCTGACGTCTGTTATTGCAGGTGGCATGGGATGGACACGGGAGTGGGAAGAAATCGAGGGAACAGGAGAGATGTACGGAGGGGGAGGGACAGCACAGTCTGTGGGGAAGGGGATTTAGGTGCACAGAGCTGGGCACTCACTGCCCCTCCGCCCCCTCCAAGAGACCTGCCACAGCAAGATGTGGGCAATGCTCATTCTTGGCACCAGTACTGTGTCCTGAACATGCAGCCCTGGGAGCAGGTTGCCAATAGCCCTGTGGGTGCTGTCCTGGGGCTCACGTTGGTGTTGGGGCCTCAAGGCACTGCCAGGGCTGGCTTTGCCCTGGCCCAGCCTGGCCATGTGCCCAGTGACCTGCCAATGTCCTCATCACACCCCTACATCCTCAGCGGGGATCTCACTGTAACAGGCAGGGGAAGCAGAACGGATGTGTTGTCCCAGGGGTTCATGCCCCAGCTACAGACAAGGTCAGGGAAGGTCACAGGAGCAGGTGACTGGGATGAGGGGGCCAGACGATGGCAGCAGAGGCTGGGACCCGCCCTGGCTCTGGTCACTCGGGGAGGGGAAAGGGGTCCCGCAGCAGTGGGGTGTTGATGGCATTGTGGGCAGACACACCCCAGGTAGACTTGATCTGCCAGAGCAGGTTCATAACCTTGTTCTGGAGCTTTTAGCTCCTTCACCCCTGGGAGCGCTGCCGGGGAAAGGGCTCCGGGAGAGAAACCCAGACACCCACCTGCCACTCCCTGATTTTCTCCTTTTCTTTAGACGTCAGCGCCCGGGCCTCCTCCAGCTGCTTCCTCAGTGGACCCAGGGCCCCCTGGAGTTTCTCCTGCAGGGCATCATGGGCGACAAACAGCTGTTATCGGCCTGTCTGACAAGCGACGAGCGCTGTACACAGCAGCCTTCCATACGCACGCAGGGACCTGGCCTGGAAGGAGGCAGCCACTTGGCTTTGCCAGCCCCAAAGGCACCATGGGAGCAGAGATACAGGGGTTCTGCCTCCTGCAGCCACTCAGGGTGTCTTCACCCCTGTGTGTCTTCACCCCTGTGTGTTAGCTCAGGGCTAGAGGGGAAATGGCTGGGAAGCCCCTGAATGGTCCCTCCAGCCAGTGGGTGCAAAGAGCTGAGGCAGGAACATCGCTGCACCGCACCTCAAGCCCAAACCCTGCTCTCCTGTGTGCTCAGGCTCCCAGGGGGCCTCCCTCACAGCAAAGGCCTCTCACCAGTGCAGCCTCATTACCCGTGCAGGGCGGCGCTGTGATGTGCCTGGAGACCAGTGAGGGAGAGGGGAGCCCTGGGTGTGGGGGAGCAGAGACCTGTAATTATAACAGGGCTGTGGTAACCCGGTGTTCTCACTCCCTTGGGCAGCCCGCGATTCATTCGCCCAACGCAGCACCGTGCCATGCGAGGGCTGCAAAATCCCCACTAACCCGTCAAACGTCCAGTTAACCTAACGCTTGGCCTGTTAACTGGACTACGCAAGACCTCACTGCTGGCTCCAGCCCCTGCCCTCCCAGGCCCGCCGGGGACAGAGGCTGCTCCAGCCGGGATGCTGAGGACGACCCTGCTCCAACTCTGCTGCGCCACGGTCTTCTGGATAGCTGTGTCCAGTATCACCGCGGTTACTTCACTTCCCCGTACCATGAAGAAGGGGGGACCCGGACGGGAGAGGGTGGTGGGACAGAGCAGGCTGCTGGGTCACTTCAGGGGGCCGACCCCCTGCTGTTGCCCCACCCAGTGCCACCTGGCTCATGTCAAGGGACAATGGGGCAGAGCAGGAGTTGG